TGTCTTCATCCTCGTCGTTGTTAAATAACTTCGAAAGCTCACGTGCGTGTTTCCGTGCATTTGATTCTCGGCGACGGTCAATGTATTTCTTTACGTAAAAACGGTTCATCTAACAATAAAATAATATTCAAAAGGTCATCAAACAAGTTTTATTCACAACAAAAAAACGCAAAAAGTGCTGAAAAATACAAATACAAGCGTACTGTTCAGTAGAAAAGTAGAAATTGGGAATACTTGATGAATATGAAGTAATAACTCTCAGCTTAACTATTAGGATGATCTAAAGCCATACCATAGCTACTCATGATGAATATGTATGCTGTCAAAGTTGGCACAATGTCACATCTCATCAAATACAATGAGACTGGCTTTCTTTGAACTTTTCTTATTAATTATGAACTAACTATGAAAAACAAGAGAAAATGAGAAGGGTCTTAGAAGGAACAGTGATCGGTGTGGTAAACAAAAGGGCAAAGAAAATCTGTTTTCCTTGAAGCCAAGGAAAATACCAAGAGCGTGTGAAAATTGAATGAACTTCTAAAATGAAAAATACTCTAAAATTTCATCAGGCAACATGTAGAAAAAAGGAAAAACTGAGAGAAGGGAAGAAAATTTCCGAACCAAAATTTCAGGTTCGGTACAGGAATGTTTAATGAGTCGATACACTACGCGAAGCACGTCTCTTCCTTGTGTATAAATCCAACCAGTCCAAACGAGTCATAAATGATTGACAAGTTCAATTATTTTCCTTTTCTGATTCATTTATTTAAGCTTGACTTTGTTGCGACCATTATCGTAGAGGCTTCGCCTCTTTCCGTCCAGATATAGCTCAAATAACGTAAGAAACAGGTTTTATTTCATCTTAAACATCTTCGTAATTTAATTTAAGTTTGTTTCTGTTAAAAACACTTTGCTTTACGTTTTCCGCGCTACGTGCATTAATATGTTGGACTGAACTCATAGCGATTCAAGATCTTGGCTTCAAGACACTAAAAACAAACTGATATTGATATCTTGAACTTTTCCAGCAGGATCTTCCCAGGATCTTGGGTACAAGACTATATCTTGAAACTGATCTTAATTTCAAAATTTTGCTGGACATTCAAGATAATATCTTGCTCAAGATCTTGCCAAGATCTTTCATAAAAGAATACAAGATGTCAAGATCTTGGTTTCAAGATATTGGACTAGGGAGAGTCTCATTTCTTTATTATTTGTCTGTTTCCATACGTGTATTGCTGAATGCTTGTACGTACGGAAAAGTGGTGATTGCTGTACTGAATGTTCTCTGTCTTGCTGTTTAGACATTTTTTGTCTCCTTGTTTTGCCTATAAGTTTGTATTATCGTTGTATTTTGTTAAATTCTAAGAATAAATTGGATCTAGTAACATATTGTAGAGCAAACATTTGGTGGAAAAGAGACGTAACCTAGCCCAAGAGGATGTTTTAATTTTAAAGTTATGGGGCTTTATTCCCTAGGCGTCGATTCTTATATAAGCATCAGTTAAGAATCTTATAAGAAACTTATAAGTACCCAATAAGATTCACGTAAGAATCTTACCTGATTCTTATCAAATTCTTATATAAGATTACGCAGGAAAGTGAATGGAGTTTGATAAGAGTCTTATAAGAATCTGATAAGAATGTCATAAGAATTTCATAAGAAAGTGATAAGAGCTCTTATGAACTTCTTATCACTTTCTTATGACAGTCCTGTTTTGTAAAGCGATCTGAAAAATGCTCTAGAAGTTAAACTACATTAGTAGTGCATCTGAATTGTGCAAAAAAAATTCGAAAAAAATCATTCAATCCGTCTAGGATTCGAACCTAGGGCCTACGGCATGCCATGCCGTATAATTAATATAATTATTCTTATCAGGAATAAGCATTTTGTAAAACGTCTATAAAAAATAGATAAGGACTTCTTATCACTTTCTTATGAAATTCTTATCAGATTCTTATAAGACTCTTATCAAACTCCATTCACTTTCCTGCGTAATCTTATATAAGAATTTGATAAGAATCAGGTAAGATTCTTATCAGAATTGCAGAAAATTTTTTGTCTAGGGTTAGCCTTTAGCTATGCATGTTTTCTTTATTTTAAGACAAACTCTAGCGCTTCGATGTTTGCCGTTAAGAGACCTCTTCAGAAATACGAACAGCTCTATTTTCACCCATATTCAGGGGACATCCTCTGGGACATCTAATTTTACGCTTTGAATTTCAAAAGTGCAACTTTTATTGTTCGTTTTTCTGGATAAGGACTAATGAGATCGAGTTTATTTTTTCATCGCATGGAGAGGGCTAGAAGAGAAAAAAAGGACATAAATTTCAAGCCAAACGAGTTTACCCAGGTCGACAAATCTTGGCAAATGATCTTGCAAGATCTTGTATGATCTTGCAAGAACATATCACAAGATTTCATATGATCGTACAAGATCTTGCCAAAACTGTACAAGATCTTACAAGATATCATATGAATCAGTCTTCCTGATTCCACATAAGATTTCATAAGATTTTTCTTATAACCAGATTTCACAAGATCTTGTAAAATCTTATGATAAGATATTGAAAGATCATATAAAGAATTCATAAGAAGTTACAAGATGTCATGAGAATGTACAAGACCTTACAAGATCGTATGGTGAAAGTGCCTAGAAGCTAATTTATTAGATCTACTATAAAATCTTAGGAAATTATGCGGTAAGATCATGTAAGATCATACAAGATCTTGTATGATCTTACAAGAAGTCAAAAGATCTTGTCAGATCTGACGATAAGATCTTACAAGATCATATGTAGTGATTTTTTGCGAACTGGGTGCTGCTCCCCTACCTTTCCATTTATTGTTTGTATATACTTGTATATAGCCAAGTGCGCCCATGATTTGAATCATTCTCATCTTATTTTCAGTACGGGAATATTTTTTTTTTCAATGAGAAATAACCGGTGAAAAATGCATTTTGTCTAATGAACAGCATGAAAAAACAAAAGTTGATTTGGTAAGCACTATAAGTTAAATGTTGTAGATTCTAGTTCTGCCTATAGGATTCAAACGAAAGCTCAGTTTGTGTAGGTATTATTACTGGCTCGATTAGTGAACAACCGAAGTCAGTGTAAATTTTTTTATAGTCAAAGAAACTTCAGGTTGTTTGCTTAGGATAAAAAGTTGGATAAAGCTATGATTAGAAATAGAGTTTCATTCATAGCTTGGATAGAATTGTCAAACAACAAGAACAACTGAACTGTTAGAAAATGATCGTAGTAAACCTAGAGTTATTCAGAAATTACATGTCTCCATAGCCCAAGACATCGTCCTTGCCCCTTAACAGGCTGTTGTTCTATCCAGATTCAGTTGTTATGCAAATTATGCAGTCGTTATTTGCGTAATTAATTACGCAATATTTATTGTATATTAATAACTGCGTAATAACAAAACAATAAATGGTATAATCGGTTTTTTCTAATTTATTTTCGTTTGTCTTTTTATTTTATTTTTTTGATTTATGACTTTAATACAAAATATACAACAAAAGTATTAAGCATTATCATCCGTCGTTGTTTGTTGTTCATTGCTATGCTGAATCTGTTGTTGTTGTTGTTGTCCTGCTGGTAGTGGAGAAGGTGGTGACACGTTTGTTGATACTACTGTTTTAACAATTCGTCGTCGCTCGTCGACAATGAATTGAGCAAGTGTTGGTCGAACTAATGAATAATAACATTCATCATAATTAATTTGCTTAATTCGATATTTTGAACGAATGGCATCTAAAATGATACAAAGACATAGAAGACGTGGCATTCCAAGTTGTGCGATGAAAGATTTGAAGAAAGTTGACCAGCGCAACTAATCTCTGTAGTGAATAAATAAAGTTCCCTTTGCTTCTTAGCTAAGAAAAGGATGGGTGATAATAAGGTTGAAGGGTGAAAAAACTTACCATGTAAAACGTTGAACCGATTTTCATCGAATGCTTGACGAATATTATGCTTTTGTCCAGGTGGTAGTATCGATTTCATAATTTCATCTTTAGTGAATAAACGTTGTAATACTTTTCTACCATAATCACTAATGTTTCTCGATGTTATTACCAATAAATTCTGTCCATTATGCATCTACAAGAAAGAAAAAGAGTTAAATTCATAAACTTCTCTCGAAATCAAACGTTATGATCTTACAACTTCATTTTTAAATTGTTCGTTTGATGTTGCTGCTGTTTGAAATTGAGCTAATTTTGAATCCTAGAATGTTATGTTAAAGCATATCACAGTGATATTTTAGGTTTTTAAGTTTTATTTACACTATAACTTGTTGCACGATACACTTTCTGTTTAATCTGTTGTAATTCTGTTGTTATTTTGTTCTGCATATTTAAAAAATTATTTTCAATTGTTTGAAGAATTTTCTTTGCTATGGCAAACAAAATAAATTCTATGCGTCAACTCAATGTGCCCAAGTATACACTTACTTTGATTTGGCACAATCAATAATTCATTTTGATTGTTGTCATCATCGTCGTTCTCAGAAAATATTCGTTTTATTGCTATTATAAATAACATTGTTTTTAGAAACGACATTAAGATAGAGCTTAGCAGACATACATCGTTTAATATCTTCGTCATCTTCATCCTGATTTGTAAGACTTAATGATCTTATACGACGATTACTATTATGTGCTGCTAAAAAGGAAGGATCCACGTACAACACAACCTTCTTTCTTCTTGAGTACATACTAAAGAAGAAGCGCTGCGCTTTCTTGTCCACATCACAATTTCAGGGAAAGTAGAAAATATAGTTTTCAGTGAAGGATATTCACCTGCAGAACGTTTGCGTTGGTCAAGTAAGTCATTTTCATCTTCATTGTCCGCATATTCCATATCTTCTTCGTTTCTCTTACCATTTTCATCCAAATCAGTTTGTTCAATTTCAACTACATTCTCTAAATAAAAAATTCAGAATAATTTTAGCGTTTTTTTTCTGACTGTAAGACATTGAAAGGACTTACCCGTTTCTATTATTTCCATCAATTCTGCCAATCTATCTAAACATTGATCATTTGTTCCTGAATATAAAGTAAATCTTAGATGACAGGCTTATGCAACAGACCTGGACAAGAATGTGTATATGCGTAATTCAATACAATCAGTCTAGTGATGGGAATAGTTCGTATACGGTATGTCTGTGGATGAAGCCTACTGGTGGAACAGCCATTTTCTCGATATGCAGGATATAAATAGCGTTTTTCATGTTTGTCTTGTGCAGTAGCACAAGTTCCAGAGGGATCGCGAATCATTTAGAATTCTAACCGAGAGAAATAAGCGTGGCTTCCAAAAATTGACTGACTCTCCCCAAAATAGAAGACTCTTCGAGTCTGTCTGACAAACCGTAATCATAAGGGTGGTCTTTTATTATGAGAAGGAGTTTTTCGCTTAAGTTCGCAACCAGTCTCTTGCAAGAAAAAATCAAGGTTTTGTACTCTTTCATACTTATACTTGTACTCGAATCTTTCCGCGACTAATAATCTGCTCATATTCGAGAGATAACTAGCCGTTGTCAAAAATATCATATCGTCCAGCTGTCGCACAAGCCTACCATAAAATACGATATCACCAGAATACCGTTGTTGATCGATAACAGCCATTGCCTGAGTCTTTTGTGAATTGATTTGCATTATTTCATGTTTCTGCATCACTCGGTATTTCTTCAGTCTATCAAAATAACACACATACTCTTCATCTTGTTGTTGAACTGTTGTTATCTGTGTTGTTTTTCTAATAGATGATGTTGTATGGTGGGTATTTTTTCGCATAGTGTCTTTCATCTTTTTTGTTGGCTGTTGTTCAGGTGGTGTGTACACCATCGCGGGTTTGATAGTTCTTCCTCTTGTACTTTGTGTAGCCATTTCTTTATCTAAAAGATAGCATATGCACATTCTTAAGTTAGTTCCTATTCTCAAACACGACTCAATTCAAGAATACAAGATTCCATATTTCTTGAATGTAACGCCTGATATGCTGCAGAGTAACAAGATGCTCCATAATTCCTTCTAATTTAAGAAGATTTCGAGTTGAATCAAAGAAAACACGTTTTATCCAAAACAATTTATTTTATATATGGCACAATATGGCACAAAATACACTTTCAAACAAATAAATCAATACGAAATATTTTTACTTTGAGAAAGCATGGCGAAATGCCAACCCAAACGCAATTCCGAAGTTTTTTATATTTGTTGGTGTATATGATTTTAATCGTTTATTTTGATACTCATTATCCGCACTGCTTTCTCGTTTGTTATGATAATCAAAACAATAAGAAAATAAGAACAGTTTATAGGATTGCCGTGTTTCACCAATGTTACTTGCTTCACTTGACTTTCTCTCTGAATGCTCATTAAAATTTCTCTCCATTTCTTGAATAATAGTAAT